CTAGCAGGTAGGCCAGCGGTGTCTGCCAGCAGCACTTCGGCCAGGTCTGGTTCGTCCTCTCCGGCAGCTCCCCCGATAGTGCCAGGGAGCCTTCGCCCGTCAGGGTGGCCATGGGCGCGTCTTGGGCCGCGACGCGCAAGAGCCCCCACCAGCGGTTGGTCCACGCGAGCTTCGCCGAGCGACGGAGAATTGATGCGGCTCGCGCTTTTCGCTTGGCAAGCATGCGGGCCAGCTCGAAAGTCTCGCCCCCGCCAGGCGCCGACCTCGCAGGAGAGGGCCAGGAGGCGGCCTGATATGCGGGTTGTGAGTTCATGGTGCTGCGTCGTTTGCGCTGCTCAGCGTCTCGTCGGGCGGCCCCGTCGGTGTGGAAAGTGCGCGGTCGGTGCCGGCCTTCCTGCGGAGGGGGGGGACCACCTGTGCTGTTGCAGCACCGGGGGATTTTCCCTTTTGGCGAGATGCCGTAGACGACCATATCTAGCTGTCGGCGGAGTGTGGGTCGTGGAAGACGGCGTTGGTGTCTCGCAGCAGTTGTTGGGGAACTGCCCTCCTGCTTCTTGGGCGATCCTCGCCCAGGCTCGTTCGAGCGGCTTTGCGCGTCTTGCCAGAAGCCCGGTGCGTGGGCACGCGGCCAGGTGGTCATCGAGCGGGTCCAGCGGGGCTCGACCGCCCAGGCGGCTGGCGGCCCCGCACCTGCGTGGGAAGATCGGCGGTGGGATCCTGATGCGCCGGCGCCTGGCCGCCTGGAACCTCGCGGGCTTGAACGTGTGCCCCTCGGTGGTGGGCAGCGTGCGTAGCCAGTAGGCAGCTCATGGTCCTGGGGCTGACCTTCGCCTGGCTGGGTTCGCCCTGGTGAGGCTTGCAATGAACACGTTGTCACTGTCGTGGGTGTTGAGTGTGGAATTAGCGTGGAGCTGCCAACTGTGCTGCCACTCCCCCGGCTTGGCGGCTTCAGGGCGCGGCGGCGGTTGGGGGCGGAGCCCGTGGAGCAGGTCGGTACCGGTTGGTCTCTGGTTGCTTTCGTTTTCGAGCGCCTGTGCGGCCTCGACATTGCCCCCGCGGCTCGACTGCGTGTCGTTACAGCAGCCTCGGCAGGGCGCCGCTTGTGGAGCATTTGAAGGGCGCCTGCCCGCGCGCCCCAGTAGTCTGCCGGGAACGTGCGCGCAGCGCGTTGAAGCGCTCTTCTGTGTCTCCCCGGCGTTGCTGCCAGTGCGCGCGCCCGTCGCCCCTCCTCTTGCGACATTTCGGGGTCCCCAAGAAGGCGGCGCAGGGTGGTCCACATGTTTGCGTCGTGGCCTCCTTTGTGTGCTCGTCAATTTCTCCAGGCTGGAGCGTTCGTAGCACGTGGTCGGCCCGGGGGGGTGCGCGGAGTAGGCGGAGGAGCCACGCGCTTTGCAGGTCGGGCAAGTGCGCCAATTCGTCCCAGAACCTCTTCTCTGCACGCAGTCTGCCAGCGAGGTGGGCGGCGACAAATTCAAGGGAGCCGAGCGGAGTGCCCCGTATTTTGATCCCTCGGTCGGGTGGCGCTCTGCCGCCCCGCCCGACATCTTGTCCGAGCTGGCCTATTCCTGGTGGTGCTGCGCCTCCGCCTCTGCGGTAGGCCCGACACTGGCCGAGGTGGCAGCCCACGTTTGCGCGAAGGTGGGTTGCGCTGGCGGTGTTGTCGAAAGCTGCTCTGGGCCTGTTCCGCGTGGTCTTGATGTACACGTCGTATTTCAAAGCTACGAGGGCGTCCCCTTGTCCGAGCCTCCTGGCAGCGCCCTCTAGCGCCCCGTGAAGAGCGTGCGAAAGAGAACAGGGGCCAGCGCGTCCTCCTGCTCCACTCTTCTGCCCTGCTGCACATCGCGTACGGTTTCCGTTTTGGCCTACAAAGAGGTCGGTGGAGTCTTGCCCGTGCGACATTGTCGCGCCGTTGGGCGCGGCTAGCTCGCCAGCATGGGGCGTGCTTCGTCACGTGGTCGAAGACTCATTCTTGTTCCAGCAGCGGTTCGAGGTGCTCGACTCGGACCCCTGATGGTCCTGCTGCTGTGCCCTTCTTGGCGGACCGGGCGCAGGCGAGGAGTTCGTTCTTGTCCAGTCGCGCTCTCGCGGACGCCCGCGTGACGGGTTGCCATTGCGGACGTGGGTGCAGGCTTGTTCTCGCCGTCGCTCCTGCTGCTGCTCCTCTGTTGCTGGCCTCGGCTCTGCGCGCGCGCCTGTTGTGGCGATGGCCTCGTGTAGTCTGGCCGGCCAGTCGCCCTGGCGACAGCGCCTGGCGCGCTCTATGAGCTCCTGTCGGCCTTCGGCGTCGGTGCCACTTGGCTTGCTTAGCAGGAAACTCGAGGCGAGGAGGGACGGCGCGCATCCTTGTTGAATTGTTGCCTGGTTGCTTTGGTCGTGCCCCCTAGTGGTCCTCCGCCAGGCCATGGTGGACGCCATCCGGGCCTCCGCGCGCAGGAAACGTGGCATGCTCTACAGCGTCGGCACGAGCTTCCGGAATTTGTGTTGGAGGTTGATGTCTCCTAGGGCTGCCCAGGATGCTTCGTCAGGTCGGAGTCGTGGTTGGTTTTGTCGGTGCCAAAGTTACTCTCTCTGAGGTTATTGTCACCGTCGTCGGGGTCCCTCTCCAGCCCGCCGCCACCGCCTCATTCGCCTCCTTTGCCTCCTCTTTCTCCTCCTCTTTCTCCTCCTCTTTCTTCTCCTCCTCCTCCTCCTCCTCCTCCTCCTCCTCCTCCTCCTCCTCCTCCTCCTCCTCCTCCTCCTCCTCCTCCTCCTCCTCCTCCTCCTCCTCTGGCGCCGTCGTCGCCCTCCTCAGGGCCCCGAGGCCCGGCGGCGGCGGGGCCAACTGCGGTGCTGCTGCCCACGGCTGTGTGCCGGTCCACGCCTCGAGCCAGAACAACGCCTCCGAACATTTCCAGCAGGAGGTCTTGCACTTGATTGGCCCTGTGACCCGTGCTGCCCGCAAGAGCTCGGACGATAGGCGCCCGGTACATGTGTCCAGGGCGTTCTCCGCCGCCAGCTGCCATCGCAGCGTGCGCGGCCCCAGGGCGGGCACCCCCGAGCTCGAGTCCCTGGGCCAGCTGCTCTGCGAGGACAGGCTCTGCATGCCGCAAGGCCTCCACCATCGGCTGCCGCCAGTCCTGCGTGAGGAGGCGCGCGCTCCACGGCTCCGCCTCTGCCAGGTCGCGCAGTGCAGCCGCCGCCAGCAGCAGGGGCACGTAGACGCCCGAGTTGGTGGGAACTTGTGTAGAGGGGCCTGCAGCGGGACCCAACTGGTGAAGCGGTCGCGTTGGTGGCGGTGGCGGTGGTGGTGCTGGGCGTCGTCGTCGTGGTGGAAGTGGTGCTGCTGGTGTTCCTGGTGTTGCCTGTCGTCGTTATGCTGGTGGCGCTGCTGGTCGTAGTCATTTGGCTGCTGGCCGCCGTCGTCGTGGCGGTGTTGGTCACGGTCGAGGTGGTGGTGGTGGTGGTGGTGGTAGTGCTGGGCGTCGTCGTCGTGGTGATGCTGCTTGTGGTGGTGTTGCTGGTGGTGGTGTGGCCTGTCGTCGTAATGCCGGTGGCGCGGCTGGTCGTAGTCGTTTGGCTGCTGGTCGCTGTCGTTGTGGCGGTGCTGGTCGCGGTCGTGGTGGTGGCGGTGGTGGTGCTGGGTTTCGTCGTGGTGGCTACTGTGTTGCTGCTGGTGCTGGTGGTCGGCGTGGTGGTGCTGCTGTTGCTGCTGGCGTAGTCTCGGTGCGTCTGCTGGCGGGTCGGGGCCCCCGCCGCCTGCTCCTGGCTCTGGCGGCCTTTCGTGCTCTGGCGGGGTGGCCTGCGGCGGGCTGTCCACTGCCGCGGCCCGCAGGGCGGGCGGCACTTCTCTTACCCAGGCCTCTGAGTCGCACGCGCCGGCGCTGGCCTTGGCCTGCGCCTCCTCGGCGCCTGGCCTGCCGCTGGCCTCCTCGGCCGCCTGGGGGCCGCGTCCCCGCTCTCGCCTGCCTCGGCGCTCTGGGCCTGGTGCTGTCCGCGCGCTGGCCTCTTGCCCTGGCCACGCCGAGGCGTCTCGCCAGGGCGAGTCGGCCTCCTCCTCAGCCCCCCCTTCCTCGCGGGCTCGTCCTCAGGCATCCTGGCCCGCTGGCCTCGCCAGGGCGTGGCGGCCAAGCGGCATCACGCTGCGCTCCTCGTCTGGCTCGCGCTCGCGCCCTCCGTGGCCACCAGCAGCAGCCGCGTGGCTGCCTCTCTCCTCCTCTCCTCTGTTGCTGCTTCCTGCCTCGCAGCTGAGGCCTCCGCCGCCTCGTCCTCTGGGCGCAGCTGCGTGGGCCACGGACCTCTGCCTGCACACACTCCAGGTCTGCTCTGGCGTGCCTCCTGGAGCCCCTCCTGAGCTTGCGCCTCGTTGGCCTCCTCCTCCTTGCTTCCCCCTGGGCCCTCCCCCAGCCTCTTCCTCCGCGCAGCGCCGTCTGCCTCCTGCTGCTCCTCCGCCTCCTCGTCCTCCTCCTGGTGCTGGTCGTTGTCGCGGCCGTGTCGCTAGCAGCGTTGCTTTGGTACTGGCGGGGCCCTAGCGGCCACCCCCTGGGCTGGACGAGCTTCCAGAGGCTCAGCGGCGGACCTGGGGCAGGCGAGAGCGGCCTTGGCGCGGACAGGGGCCAGGGCGTGGGGCCCGCAGGCGGGCGCGGCAGCCCTGTCCCACGCCCGGCCGCAGGCGGGTGCGCGGCAGCTCCGTCCCACCTCCCGCCCCCGCTCCACTCCTCGTTCCTCCTCGTCGCAAGGCCTCCTTCCTGCTCGCGCTTGCCCCGCTCGTCGCCTTCTGCTGCCCAGCTCGCCTCCTTGCTCTCCAGCTCTGTGGTTGTCCAGGGTCTGGGCGTGGGCCCTCAAGCGGGTGCGCGGCAGCCCCACCCCACGCCCGGGTGCGCGGCAGCCCCGCCCCACCTCCCGACCTGTTGCTGCTGGTCGCCGTCGCAGCAGTGAGGGTGTAGTTGCAGGTCGTGCTGGTCGTGTTGCTGCTGGTCGGCGTCGCGGTGGTGCTGGTGTTGTTGCCGGTCCTGCTCGTGGTGTTGCTGCTGGTCCCTGTGGTGGTGGGGCTGTCGTTGGTCGTGCTGGTGGCTGTGCTGGTTCTCGGAGTGGTGGTGGTGGCAGCCATTTGGGCGGGGGCCCGGGCGTGGGGCCCACAGGCGGGCGTGCGGCAGCCCCGTCCGACACCCAGGAGGTGGAGCCCGCAGGCGGGTGCGCGGCAGCCCTCCGCCGCCGCTCCATTCTGGGCTCCTTGCCCTGCGGGCTGCTGCTGGTAGTGGTTGTGGTGGTTGTGGTGCTGGCGGTG